GAACGGCTTCAAGTCGAGACCAAGGTGCTCAAGAGCGTCGTCAACCTTCGGTTGAAGACGCTGTTTGTGCTCACAGGCGCGCTCGAGAACCTGTACGCAGCATTCTTTGCGGCGGTCAAGGCGATCGACGACAACTACAAACGCATGCGACAGCGCAAAGACCAGCCACGCGACCGCGACTACTCGCCCGACCGGCCGTCCTACGACAAGAAGCAAGAGTACACGAGTGCCCGCCATCCGAGCGAAGAGCGCTGGACGACCAAGGCTATTCTGCCGACGCCGCCGCGCGTTGTGACCTCACCGCCACCGACCAACACGAGTCCGCTGGCGGTGCACGTGACGCCGGTCGTGCCACCTCCGGCCACGCCCTTCCAGTACCAACCAGTGCTCGCGCCCATGCCGTCGGCGTGGACGGCGAGTGCGAGCGGGTGGAAGCTCCATGATGTTGTGCCTGCATCCGACGCATGGAGCCAAGACCTGGATCGACTCCTTCAAACCGGTACTAGTGGTGACACCAGTGTTGCTGTAGCCGGCCCACAGGACCCTCGCCTACCGCCGCCGCCGACAACAACAGCATCGTTGACGTCAACAACACCGACGACGGCGTCAACGACAACCAGCACCAAGCCACCCCTCCCCATTAAAGCCGTGACGGATACCGAGGAGCTACCTCCGCGCGGCAAAATCGTGCAACTGAGCCGGTCGACGACGCCGGTCGTGCCGCAGCGCACAACGATCGTCAACCTCGGTGGCATCAACAAGTCATCTATAGCCTTTACCGTTAGCAAGGGTGACAGCATTGACGATCGACTCAAGCGCCCACTGAGCGACCCACCGATGCCGCCGGCCAAGATTCAACGTACGCTGCTGTCGGACATGGCGACGGGAGGTGGACGCACCGTCTACTTAGCCGACGCTTCGTCGAGCCGGAACAGCAGTGACACGTTGTCGTCCCGCCGCCACGTGACGCTGCCAAGCGATTCGCATGACAGGAGCAACGACGACAGCCATCGGCAACGGGCGACCAACTACCGCAGCGCGTCTGATCCCCGAACCAAAGCAAGGAGCGCTTCGCCCACCTCATCGACGGTCTCATCGACCGCTCCAACGACAACGGCTTCGACTCGCGCGCCGCCGCCGGCACCTTCGGTTGCGTCCAGCCGTGCATCGTCGCCAGTGGCCGTCAAAGCGTCCGAGGCCTTACC